CTTGTTACACATACTTATTTTAATCGCAATAAGCTGAAATAGCTTATTTAGACGGGAACAATCAACTACATCGCCAAGAATGCTTCACGAACTCGTCTTTTTACTGGACGTTCAGGCGATGTGGCATTGCTATATTTACGCTAAATGTCCGACTAAGAGGACAATCCCTAGGTTACTTTGTATTGTCGCTGCTAGCGTGTGTTTCGAGCACAAGGACTGGGCCAAAATGGGGTATATCATGGCACGACCTACCTTTGTGTGCGTGCTTTTAGGTATTTAACAAAATTGATCACTTCTACTGTTTTTGCATGATAGGGTGCGTGAGTATGTTCCTCGTGTTAGTCTTTCGCCAGAAACAAACGTACAAGCGAATTGCTTTGGGTGACTGCTGTCAGAAGATGCGAGTGGATTGTGTCACCTTTTGAAATTTCTATCCTTCGCTTCACCGGTTGGCCAGCCGTTTGGTTCCATCCATAGGTCGCGGGCAAGGATTGGGATTTCAAAAGGTGATAGAATCAATTCCACTCCATCGAAAGCAAATAACAGGGAGTTATTTAATTGTACAATGACTTCTAAAACTGACGTGCACAAGGAAATTATTCAAACTATACGTACTGCATAACCTGCGATAGTAATGATCAGTTATTTCGCAAATGCACAAAGACGACTCCTTGGATTAGGCTTTCACCCTGTCCATCGACATTTGCTCCAGCCCTTACGAAAGTGGTATGCTTTAGCAGTAAACACTTTCTATATCTCATCTCCAGCATTTCCTCGATGTTGTGTGATTTTGTATTGTTAATAACCTGTTTATGATTCATTGATGCAGCTTTGGTATCTTTGTACAGCTCGAGTTTCTTGTCAATGATGTAAATTATCATCAGAAGTTTGGAGAGACAGAACTTTTGTTTATGATAAGGAAACTAACTCTCCTAAATGTGAGTTATCTCTTTAAAAAAGGAACATGAAACAATTGTTTATTGTATCGAATCGAATGTACGCAAGCATCTGTCCTTCGAAATTATAAAGTCAGTATTCTCCGTTTCACTCACGAACAGTCAAATTCTGGACTCTTAAAAGTGCACTCTCGGAATCCAACAGTCTTCCGCTTGCTTCTACGAAAAAGGCTAGCACCAATCGTACCTATCGTGC